ATGACAAGATACAGCCATACATTAGGTTGATATGAAACTGCAGGGGTTTTTTGTAGTCAAAATGGTCAGCTGCTGACATTTTCATAAGGTTTTTCCTAATGAAGGGACAGTGAGAGTATATGGATGTCAACTCTAGTTTTGTTTTCAAGAATCATGAAGCTGGAAGGACCCTTCAAGAAAACCAAGTCCAACTTTCTCATTCTAAAGCTTGCATTTGTAGAATTATGTGTAAATAAAAGTTTTGAACTCCCCTCCTCCCAATATCAGTGAGATAAAAGAGACAGAAGCAAATTTCAAACTCCTGTTGGGGTCAGAGAGGTTGAGGCTAATAAACGACATCTAAGAAAGAGGCTAGGCAATTCTGGAAGCTTCCTTTTCATTGAGTATTAAGAACTATGGAGTTGGGGGACAGTGGTTAAGAGGGCCTGGCTGCAAATCTTAGCACTGACACAGGTTATTTTCTGGTCAGCACTGTGTGAGAGTCTGGATCCTCCTGTTTTGTGGAAGAGGTGTATGGTACTGCAGAATTCCCTGGTTAGTGCCAGAATGCCGCAAGGGGCCCTGGGCTCAGTTGGAAAGGGGTGGTATCTTCTGTCCCTGAAGCAGTTATACAGACAGTATAGCTGTCATGACTCTGGCTATGGGTGCTCACGACCCAGTGCTCAGAGGAACTAAGCCCAGCAAATTCAGCAGGCTTTCTTAGTGAGCTCCAGAAGCCTGGAGGAGCCAGCTTCTTTACTCAACCTGCTGACATTGTTGTTATCGCCATAATCACTGGCCATATCTTAATTTACAACCTTGTAAATTACTTGCAAGATACAAGAATCTTATCCTTAGTAAAGAATCTTATCCTCACTTGATTAAGCCTACAAAAAAAATCTAGAAATGTGTTAACAGCAGTGAACATTGAGTGTGAATTCTGGGGAAAAGTCAGTTTCAAAGAACACTCTTTTTCACTGCCCAACTCCCTTTCAAGGTCCCTCTGTCATCACTGCCCCAGGGGCTAAACTGGAAGTGTCACAGGGAACTCAGGGCTTGTCCCCACTCAGCTGATTCTTCAACCACTTTCCATTAACACAGACCATACAACGTGGACTGGGTTAAAGGAGTTCAGAGGTATGGACAAATGATAAGCAAATGCACACAGTGATTAAAATAGTCAAGTACGGGGAGAGAGAGAGACTTCATGCAGTTTACAGCCTACTGGGAACAAGAGATTAGAGACACACACAAAAAAGTGATTGCACATAGGGGCAAGTGCTAGAAAGGAAAGCGTCCTGAGAGAGACTGACTGGGTAGGGAAAGGATTCATTCCACTTAGGGAAGTCCACAGAGCTCCTTGAAGACTTGCCACTAGGGGTGGGTTGGGGTGAAGGACGTGCAGAAGTTCTTTCCTTTTTTTTTTTTTTTGAGGTGGGGTCTCACTCTGTCGCCCAGACTGGAGTGCAGTGGCCGCTCCCGGCCACCGCAGCCTCGACCTGCTGGGCTCCAGCGATCCTTCCGCCTCAGCCTTCCGAGTAGCTGGAACTATAGGCGTGCGCTACCATGCCCGGCTGATTTTTGATTTATTCTTAATGAGAGTGTTTTGCAGGTTTGCAGTACCGAGAGCAGCTTGTCACGACAGCCTTACGGCAAAGGGGAAAGTGGCAAGAGACAACAGTAGGCGATCCCAGCACTCACACAGCTGGCTAGATTTTTTAGCCACAAAATAGCTTATCTCCGCAAAGTAAAATTGAATTTTAATTACATAGGTAACTAACCTTTCTATTTTCCTTTCATACAAGCAATATCTTAATAGATTTATGATATGCTTGGAGATCAATTCTATGATGTCATTGCGTAAAGAGCTTCCAAAGGCCTTCATCATTGAAGGTTCATGTGAAGGAAAACACTTCGTCAAGTCCAAGGTCTGAGCTATTTATCACAGCATTCCAATGAATGGTGAGTCAAAGAGGAGACTGTTTTGCACACAAAATTAAAGGAAACATTATGGCGTTAATAGCCACTTGAATGTACTTTTCTTTTTACAAAATTATTCATCTTGAGGTTACTTGAATTTTAAGAAGTTCTATGATCATTTTACGCACAGTAATATGTGTGCATCATACCAATTAAATACAATCTTTTATTATTCCATTATTGATTGATTTGATATGAGGTAACCTCTCAGCTTAATTGCTTTACTCTGTGAAATCTCCTGGGGGAAAACAATTTTGTGTCTACTCAGCACAAGCAACTAAAAACTACAAATAGAAATTCAACTTGCCCTGAAATGTGATTAGCTGAGTCTATCAGGTTTACAGCTTGCTTCTAAAATCTGAAAATATTAAGTTCCAAACTCCACAAGAACGTAATTTTGCCCATATGTCGACAAAACATACTTCATACGTTGACAAACACACCTCAAATAAACACGGTGCTTTTCCTGACAAAGATCTGCAAGTCATTACAGTAAGGTCAACTCTGTAGCCCACTCAGGGAAGTGAGTTTCACTCAGTAATTCATTTGGATTTTTTTTTCCCTTTCTTTTTTTTTTAAAGGAATCGCCTGGAGGAAAACTGTGGGAAATGGGGAAGAGAGGTCGAAAGGGGAGTTGCCTTACAAAGGTTGCTCAACAGGCTCAGAAATTTTTGCCTGCCTTATTTTCATCTCAACAGGCTGTGATACTGCCCCTACATTTTTTTTTTTCAATTTAAGGGAGCAAGACTAGTGGGACCTAGGCCTGAGACTTGTGAGGTAATAACTGGTGAGCTTCCTCATTGTGCTCCCCAGCAAGCACCAGTGTATGTCTCCCAAGACACCCAGGCACAGCACACGCCTACCAAAGTGCTCCCCAAGACCCCCACCAGCCCCAAGACCAACTCCCGAGACCACTCTGCACAGGTGGTTCTTAACAGACCTGCTTGGGTCAGACAAGGGCGCAAGGGCCGCGGGGTGGGAAATGGCTTCTCTTTTTAACTATTGGGAACTGCTCATTCGGCTTCTGGTCCTTTGAAACATGGAAACAATCTCTACGAACCAAATATTGCTGCAACTCTGTAATCTAACAAAACCACTAGGGTTTTACAGGTAGGTGCAACTTGAATGTGTCCAGTCCTTCCCATTTGTCCTCTGCAATCTCAGAAATTCCACAGCTGCTAGACAAGGCGGGGTACGGAAATCCTGTTTAGCCAGACTACCATTACGAGCTTATGAGCACTACCAATTCATATCAGCTAACGGTTCTCAGGGCATTTGCTTTAGGATCTTATGATCCCTGCCTTCATAGGCTCGGGCGTAAAGCAACTTCCCAATCCTTCATTCCATAAACAAATGAAACAGTGAAGAAGCCTCAACATGGGAACATTTTGTATTATTACTCACGGTTGGCAGAATTTCCTACCTAAATTTTCTGCATACTATCAGTCTCAAGATGATAGAATGCATACAATAAAATAGTTTGTATTCCAAAAGCATTCTCTTCTCTGAAGTCAAACAAGTAGATTCTCTGGAGAATACGGCAGATTTTGTGCTCCTGGCTGAGCCAGCCCATTTTATGGCTGTTTTAACTCAAGGAGGATATCCCATATGTGGTTAAGAAAAGCAGAACGTCCTCCCACACTTGAAGATGTGGGGACTAGTCTTTGTTTACACAGCCTGTCTTTCAAATAAGGATCGATTTTACTGGCATATTTTCCACAAAAGCAAGGTCGGACCGAACCCCACACCCAAGTGGCAGTCGTCAGCCTGTTTCCGTTTGGCAGACGACCTGTTGAGCTAGTTTTGAAATCGCCAATGGCTTTCCCCAGATCCTACAGGCAACCTCCACCTCCCAAGAAAGGGATGGAGACAGAGGAAGGGGGGGAAAAAAAAAAACTACAGTCATGTGCTGCATAATGACATTTAGGTCAAGTCAGACCACAGAGAGACAGTGGTCCCATAAGACCACAATCCTGTGTTTTCACTGTACCTTTTCTATGTCTAGATAGTCAAATATTCACAATTGTGTGATAATTGCCTTTGGTATCCAGCACAGTAAGTCGCTGTACGGGTCTGCAGCCTAGGAGCCAAAGGCCATATACCACACGGTCTAGACATGGAGTAGGCAATCCCATCTGCTTTGTGATGTTAGCACGAGGACCAAATCGCCGAATAATGCATGTCGCAGAACGCATCCACCTCCTCAGGCAAGCCCTGGGCAACGTGTCCGGCTTCCTCTAGCTCGCAGGAACACCGCTGGACACGGGAAGGCCTGACGACGCCCTGCGGGTCTCCCGGCACAAAGAGCGCCAGGCCAGAGCGGCCCGCGCAAGG